ATAGGTGGTAACAGTTAAAGTAATAGTGATTGTAATGAAATGACATGACTGAGGACTTAAATATATGTTTTAGAAAATACCCCCAATTCTTCTCTTCTTTGCTCTTACATTCTAAAAAGTGATATTAATGAACTACTGCTGATTGCAAGAGTTACACTGCAATACATGATGAAACATTACTCTGAATCCATTGGTCCATTGTGTGATTGATACACTGAGAGGACTCAGGGGCTGCCATGAACTGAAAATCCTCATCACAAGAAAGTCTCAAAAAGAATGGAAGCCTCTAGGAACTTTTAGTGATAGAAGCAGCAGCAAGAATCAAAGAAAGAAGAAAGGCAGGGATTCCTGCAGGTGATGGGAAGAACAGGGAATGGTGAGGATGGTCTGTTAAAGGACTGAATCTGGAACTAAATTAAATGATGAAGGAGTCCTGGCAGTGAAGACCCAGCCCAGAGCTTTCACAGCTAAGAAAGTGCATCCTAATTCCACTGTGACTTGTCACCAAAAAGTCTTTCTGTTTATCAGTAACCATGCATTCCAGGAGGTTTAAAACGTGTAGCTCTAAAAGCTCCTTGTCTCTGCATGTCCATCTCATGCACCACCTCTGGGCAATATTGTAATAGCTGCAGAGATTTGGGGCCCATGCCTACAACCATGCCATTGGTAGGCAGTGGTGGAATCCTTCTCATACTAAATAGGAAGACTTGTATTAATGCCAAAGAAAGGAATTAACCCACTAATTTAATTTTCTGTCATTTTAGGGTGATAGTTATATTTGTCAGTTATTGCATCTTGCTAATGAGATGAAAGTCACTGCCTTCACCCCAAAATAATATACTCAGTATTTGCCTTGACAAAGTTTCATTCATTTTCTAATTTACAACAATGGACTTGCATAGAAAAAACTTTATACTTGTCCTTTATGGTCAAATTATGGTTGCATCAAAAATAATAATAAATAAACTTTCCTACCTCTGAAAAACCAATTGAAAATATTTCTTTTAAATTTGATATAGTTATAGAAATAATGTCATTAGAACTGTCCACCCAAATTAGTAATCATTTTCCCCTTTATTTATTTGTTTACTCTTTTTTTGGTAGCATGAATCAAACTCACGACCTCACACTTGCCAGGCAGGTGCTGTGCTGCTGAGCTGTATCCCCGACACTGCCTTCATTTTGATTAGCAAAAACATTTCTCTCTTTTTCCCAGTAGGTATCTTTCTTTGGCACCTCTGATTCCTCATTCTGGGAGCAAAATTCTTTTCATTTTACCCAAGGTTGTGGTGTCTAACAAATGGATATCAAAGATGTTAATAAGGAGATAGCTTTAAATATAGTGTGTAAACAAAGTTCTGGGCTACACACAATTTCAGCCTGGCAGTCTTTCCTCTGGGCCCTGTGAGGATGAGCATGGAGACTTCATGAAAACCAATAAATATTCCTGGATCATATGTAGACATTTGCCCCATTTGCACTTTCATATTATGTGTCTCATTTTAGATGTGCATATCTGAATTTAGTATTCTTTCTCTCAAGTTACCTCCTCTTTTTCTAAAACATCTCCACCTCGTCTGTGACTTGGAAAGAATTCCAAACATTTCTCTATGCCTGACACTCCCAGGGTGCTGTTCTGTGCTCTAAGTCAGGAACAGACGGAAGGAGTTGGACTATCAAAAAGGTACAGCTACAACAAGCCAATGATTTGCTGCCAGTAGCATGTCATATAAATTCATTGAAAAATATTTGGTCAGATTATGAGACATCTAGACTCCAGAGTGAGCAGTGATACAGGCAGATCAGAAGACATGGAGTAAATTAGACAGCACAGGCAGGAATGAACATAGCCTCTTTCCCCATTTTCCGTAAGGTGCCATTTCTACTACTAGCTAAAGGTGAATCTCATGTTACTGATTTCTCTGGCTAGAGCTACCTGCTTCTGATTTCGATGTGTGCTCCTTATTTTCTTTGCAAAACTTGGCAGGGGTAAAGTTTTCTCGTAGGGTTGTACTCAGCCAGCTTTCTCACCAGAAGTCTATCTTGTCACCTAATTTAATTGCTCCACTGGCTGTGGTGTTTCTATTCTAGGCAACTGCCATTTTAACTTGAATCTCCTAGAGAAAGCAAAGACCTTCTGTGAAACCAGCAAGCCATCATGGTCAGAAATTTGAGTTCTTAATGATACCAACTTAGAGAACTTATGCTGAAGGTGGAAAAAATATTTTTGAGCCATCATCTAGAATCAATGCCTGTCCACCACTATTAATCACAGAGAAAGTTCTGTCTACAAATGTTTGTTTTCTTACTGTTGACTTTTGAGTTGCTTTGAAGCTGGGAGGTTTTAAAGAAAGGTAACTTTGCCTCTGAGGCTACCAAGTAGATCATGCAATATCATTCAGTAGTGATTTTTGAAGGGAAGGAGGAACTCAGACCTCGTTTTTCACATAGAAAAATTCCCAAATATTTGATTCCCAGGCAGACCCGGACTCTGTACTTTTTCTATTGCTTTGCTGGTAATTCAACCAAGTAGAGTACATTATTTCATAGCAACATAAACCTTTGCTTATTTCGTTCCATGGGAAATTACTTGGAGTGTAGCACAGACGTGCGACCATCACATTTCCTCATGATTTGCTCCTCTAATCGTAGATCCTGCTGTGTTTAACAATGATCAAAAGTTAAAGAAGCCTGGCTTTCATTTCTCTTTTGTTACTTCCGAATCTCTAATTTCATTTATTTCCTTGTACCTTTTTGGCTAACCCTAGCTCACAAAAAAGAGTGACTTTGTGTTTTACTTCCATGAATGTGATATAAGACTCCAAATTATATAAGGGAAATATTATAATTCCTAACCTGCTAGATGCCTGATATGCTGAATTCTTGTTCCACAAACACCAAAAAATGAATTCTAAGGAACAATGGAGGTTAAGAGTAGGAAATTTTATTGAGAAAGAGAGAGAGACAGACAGAGAGAGAGAGAGAGAGAGAGAGAGAGTGAGAGAGAGAGAGAAAGAGAAACTCCAGGGTGATAGGAGGGTGCCTGAGTGACTCACCAATGAGCCCCCTTCTCAAAGGAAGAAAAGGAAATTTTATGGAGCACAATAATGAGGTGGATACAAAATCGTGAGTTGGTACAATGAATAAAACAGGTAAGATTACAAATATAACCTCTTAGGCAATGTTGATCCAGTGGGGGAACAAGTCACATAGCAAGTGCACGTGGAAAGAATAAGGACATTTTTCTTGGAAGAGATGAGTCAGGAGGTCCTGGTCACCCCTGCAGGTGACTCATGTCTATCATTGGACCAGGTGATATCAATTATAACATGTTGCTTATCCCTTGGGGAAGCACAAAGTCCTGGCCATTCTCTTTTTATCTTGAGACCTGGCCTTCAACAGATATGTCTCCAGCCACATCTATAATGTACCTTCATCTTCTGCATTGACTCCTTCAAGGGCCTAACCCTGTCTAGGTGCTTATTTCTACATAATTTAGCTTCTATAATAGGTGCATTGCACTGTACTTGAGTACAATGAATGAGACATTCTGTTTTGATGGGGTCATCGTTTTTGTTAAAACTAAGAATAATAATTCATTCTCTCAGCTGTAGAAATATATTTAGCGTGTGTGTGTGTGTGTGTGTGTGTGTGTGTGTGTGTGTGTGTTTATCTGTAATCCTTCAGGGAAAGCAGCTGCCTTTATTTGGTATACATTTTCCCATTTTGAAGTCTATGTCCATCAAACCCTCAATATTTGTGCCTTAGAGAAACATCAATCAAATCTTTGTTGTTTTATCTCATTATTCCATTGGTAGAAAGAAAGAGAGAAAATGAATTACTGAAAAATTGTCTTGTTTCTTGAAGGTACTACAGCAATATTTGGTCCTGTTCCTTTTTTTTTTTTGTTGCTCAGTGGCTCATAATAGTTTATGTTTTAATGTTTGGTTAATATTTCTCTTTTTTCAAGTGCTCTGTTGTTTATGAATTTCAGTAGAGGCTGCCATCGAACATCTCATTTAAAAATGCTTAACAGTCACAAAAAAGAGCAAGATGATGATATTAATAATGATATTCAAACAGCAAAAATAATGAATTACTAAGATGTGGTTGCCCAGTTAGCTTTGATAGTTGAGACAAATAAAGCAATGACCAAGCATTAAAGTTATTGTCCCCAATAAGCAGAAATACAATAAAATAAATGCATGAGTAAAATATTTGTATAAATAAATCTCATACATTCAACTGATATAGTAAATAAACATTACCCTTATAACCCATCTTGAGAATCCCTAATTTAATCTTAACAAATAGGAAGAAAGGTAAACTAAATACTATAGGTAATTCTCCACTATGCAAAAGAAAATACAGTCTCATATAAACAGCCCAATGGTGATAAATGTCATGCATCACCTTTGTATACAAAATAGATCACATTGCAGAGCAGGTTTCTGAATTTAAATATTTCAGGATGCATCATTGTTTCATTGCAAAGCAGTGAAAAAATGGTTCAAAAGCAATGTCTTCTAGGTATAACTTGAAGTTTTAATCACATTAGAAAGAAATATAATATTTCTTTCTTGTTCATTGAGTGTACATGCTTAGTCATTGCTATAAAGAGATAACATTTCAATGTGGTATGTGTGGAGCATGCTATATTGTTTAATAAGATTACTCAGGCTTTCAAGGAAGTTTCAAAATATCAATTCTCTATCCTGATAGGTAAACTTATTAAATGAAAAGTGTGAATGCTCTTAGGCAGAGGAGCTGCCTTAGGCTTCCTTCTGTGAAAAGCTTTGAGTAATTGGAAAAGTGTGATATGCTGTGTCAAAATAGGAGGCAAAAAGTTTTGGGATCGAAGGTGTTCAAAAGTACAGTTATGTTAGTTCATCTCTTGATGGACATTCAGGCTGCTTACAAGATTTAGCTGTTGTGCATTGTGCTGCTATAACACGGGTATGCATGTATCACTATAATATGATGTCTTTAACTCTTTTCAGAAGATACATAGAAGGGGAATATCTGTGTTGAAGTGTCTGCATACCCACAGATGAATGGGTAAGGAAAATGTGTCATTATACACAATGGAACACCATTCTACAACGAAGAAGAATAAACTGGAGTCATTTGTAGGTAAATAGATGCATCTTGAGAACATAAATTTAAGTGAAATAAATCAAATGCACAAGCTTCAATATCATATGGTTTACTTTGTAGGAGAAACCCCCAAAATAAAGAGGAAAATAAAAAACAGATAATATAGAGAAGAAGACTAAGAGATGGATGACACAAGAGAGAGTGGAGGGAAAGGGGCTGATGAGTGAGCTGAAATGCTGTGCACAGGTGATAACTCATCATGAGCAATGTGAGGGTCATGTGCTGCAGATATGTATCCTGATAAAAAATAAAAACCAAAGATGATCAAATGAATAAAAAGATAACCTTGAACAAGTACTATTATTTTATCCTCAACATCAAAGATTTCAGACCTCCTTTCTTTGTGATAAATTGTAGAGTCTCTCCCTTTTACTTCTGTTCCATATCCTTATCAGTACCCCTAATACATAAAACAGATAAAAATGAATTCTCTCAGGTTAAGATTGGTGTGGCAGTGTGGAGCACGCTAGTACTGCATAATCTGCTGAGTTCCTGATGAAGAGTGAAACGGAAGGAATATGCTGACACCCACACAGCACGTACATCCCTTGATAAGCCATCCAAAGTTTTGCTCATATTGTGTGTATCGGTTACTTTTTGATTCATGAGAGAAAATTCCAACGCACACAATTTAAAAGAAGACTTTAATTTGACTTGTGGTTTCGGAGAATTCAGTCCACAGTTGGTTCACTCCAAGACAGAAACATGATGGTAGAAAACTGATTACATATTGGCAGTTAGGAAGAGAGAGAGAGAGAGAGAGAGAGAGAGAGAGAGAGAGAGAGAAAGAGAGAGAGAGACAGAGAGGCAGAGAGAGACAGAGGCAGAGACAGAGACAGAGAGACAGAAGGGAGAAGTTGTGGAGGGTGATACACCCTCCGAAGGCACACCACATGGAATACTTTTCCAATGAGGCCCCAGCTCCTAAAAACATATTTAGTCCTGAATACCTCAAAGGATCAATCTACTGATGAGTAGTGGCACCTTCATGACCTGATCTTCTTATAAAAGTCCTGTCTCTAAGCACATGGGACGAGGAAGACATTCTGGATTAAAGCATGGCACTATCCCTTCAAATCCTAGTTCTTATATTTAAGCAAAGGCAGATATAATCAGTGATCTGCTACATGCCCAGAAATACACCGTGAATGATGGAGACACAAAGTAACACGGCTCTGGGGATTCAAACTAAACCTAGGGAGGCAAACAGTCTGAGTTCCAGTCCCAGCTCTATTGTGTCTCTCAGTTGCATCTCACTAAGTAAATATCTGTGGTTGCAGTCTGTGAAATGATGAAAATGATCTCAATACTTGTAAAATAGGGGCCCCATAATGCCCACGGAGATCACATACACAAAGGAACTAGCATTCTTCCAGGTATAAGTAGGTACCCAATAAATACAGTTGTTATAGTTTTTAAAGAGTAAAAAGTGAGTAGGCATAAACAACTGCCACTGGATGAGAAGATAACAGTTTGCTAGAATTTATTAAATGAAAATCTAACCTGTTATCTTCAGGCAACACTATTCCCTTAAGCAAAGAATCAAGAATGCCAAAATATAAGATTATTGCTTATTGCTCTGTGGCAAGTTTCCACACAGCAGCTAATGAAGGCATGAGTGGATAATTAATTATCTGCTTGTTAATTGTGAAATGTTTACCATTTTAATTTTAATTTTGTTAGCTTGCACTGTTCAGGCAACAAACTAATGAGCACTGACACTGGTTGTAACTTGTGTCCACCAGTTGGATGAGGCCAAGTCATTCATTAAGGACTAAGAAAAAACACATGATGAGTCGATGTGACATACTTGATTGGCATTGGAAGCTAAGTGTTGGCAGTTAATAGAGGAAAGAAAAAATATGTAAAATCAACTTTCAGAAGGTTTAATTAAAATAATACATTATAAAGCACAACATGATTTTTAGCACAGACAAAACATCTAATAAACGATAATATCATCCTTACTATAAATATCACCCCTGCTGTCATCAATACTCAAACACATCCTCTTCATTTAAGTGGGGGTTTTCTTCCTAACAATCAGGAATTTTGAGCTGTGTTTAAACAAATGGAGCCACCTTCTATGGTACCCACACAAAATAGATAAAAATAACTCATGATGCTGAAACATTTCTTTAACAAAATCGACATTGACTTAGACTAGAATTTCACATTCTTAAGGTATCCGTGAACTTCATTAAGTGATATCATCTTCCTGAATTTCTCTGTGACATACTTTACACATGAATGAATTGAGGGGCTTGGTCCAGATTGCTTGAGACCAGATTGGAGAGATGTGGAAGAATGAGGGGCTGAGTCCAGGCTTGTCAGACTGAGGTGCAGCTGCCCTCTTGACTGTACCTACTTCTGGTCTGTCAAGGAAATTTCTGAAGGGCCAATGTGGTGGCTTACTGATGTTTGAAGATACATGAAGATGTTATCAGAAAATAATGTGTGTATTTAAATAAAAAACATATATGAGTAAAATACATTGCCATGAACCTCCCCGACATGCTCCCATTTGCCTCAAACACTTCTCCCATCATTCTTGCCATTCTGAAGCAGCTCCGGAAGTCCTCCGCCATGAGTGTCCTCACCATGTGTGTGATGACATGCAGGGCCTGCTGAGTGCCATCCAACAGCCACGGAAGCTCTTTAAAAAGCCCTGTGACGTGGCCTCCACCTGATTCAGGGGATCTGGCCCTAAATGACTTTTGTTCTCCACAGTCAAAACGACGAAGGGAAGTGCATGGAATAGACTGATTCAGCCACACTAAGGCAACTCAGGACACTCATGAAAAATTTCTAGATCTGTTGCAGAAACTGATAAGGATGATAGAATAAGGGTGTTTCAAGGGAGGAGGATTATTTTGAAGGAGATTAATAATAATGTCTTTAACTGCAATAAATATAGTGTATGCTATATTTTTTGATTAGCATCTATCTATCTATCTTGACAGATAGATTTAGAGCCTTAGACGCACCTCCAAGGTCTATTTTTCCCATTGTACTAGAGGTAGTTAGGTGAGATGTCACCACCTGAGGACCCCAGTGCATGTAACATTGCCAAAAAACATTTCACCAGCAGTTCATCACAAAAGCACACACAAAGCAAAACAAATACAAAGTAAGCAAAAAGCACAAAGATTGAAATTCCAGAGAAAAGCGTGGCATTTCCTTTGTAACGGCCCTTTGCATTAAGCTTATTGTCTGATACTTTTTAAATAAAAAGAAAAATGATGCTTATGGTTATCTGTACTCCGTGTGCAATGAAAGCAGCTCAACACACCAGGCAAGACTTCTTGGCTGGAGGTCGGTGTCACTTCTCCAAGACCAGGCTTTATTTCCAGGGTCTCGTGGTTTGGAATCCTGGTCTGGAGTTGGTATTCTAATTTGCCCTGGGCCTGCCAGCTAGATTGAATTTGCTGTTTCTGGATCCAAGTGCTGAACAAGATCCTTGTGCCTCAGGTAGGAGATGTTTGAAGAAAACTCAGTCTGCAGTTTTTTCTATTCAAGGAACGGAATCACCCATTAATATGTGGTGAAATTCCAGCCCTAGCTGTGAATTCCTAGGAGCATGTAATGTATTAGCACACTAGGATTTAATTCCTCTATGAAAAAATAAAACATATTTCCTCTGTCCAACCTCTGTTAAATAACCCAGACACACAAAGATAAATACAACCTGTTATCTCTCCTAGGTGATCCTAATTCAGAAAGAATCCAGCTGAATCTAGAAGACTGATTTCTGAAAACATCTTTTTTAGTCTTGGTTAATTTATACAGATGACAGCGTTCTCATAAATGTAAATAAATGCACAGCTTTTAAAAGGTAAACATTTGAGTAATGACTAGTTTCTAATCCGGGTGGATTATAAAATTAACAAAGGATAAAAAGATGTTTTTAGAAAGCACTAAACCAGAGGAGAAATATGGTGGATTGCGTAGATTAACAGGTCATTTTTATTGCTTTCAGTGGTGAATCCTTTGCAAAATCACTTGCAAAATTGTATTTTGAATGCATCAGTTTTCTGGTCCCCTTACTTTCCATGATAACAATGCCCTTATCTCTGTTTGCTTTAGACAGTGGCCATTTAGGCAAAGTCACACAAGTTGATCTTTAATGTAAACATAAACCAATCTTTATTTTCTTTTAAATTGGTCATTAAATGAGATGGAAGAAATAAAATCATGTCTGTGGTGAACGAAATGTCTAATGTACACGTTTACAAGAAATTTCTCATTTAGTTTTCTAAGGAGTACTAGAGATAAGGGATTCCAATTCATGTAGACTCATGTATTGTGAATATAGTGATGAAAAAATTCCTGTTAGTTAATTATTAATTTTTTGTGTTGTAGTTAATTTCAGCTTCAGAATTTGAAGCTACGTATCTTAGTCATGTTCCTAGTGGCTGAGACATAATACCAGACATCTACAACTCAAAGGTTAAGCAGCTCGTTTGGGTTCATTGTTCCAGTCCTTGGTTAGCTAGCTCCAAGCAGAAAAGGAAAGGTAGAAGGGAAGAGTGGAAGCCAGCTGCTCAGCCATGGCAGCCAAAAGTCAGGGAGGCAAGGAGGAGCTGAGGAGAAAAATACTCCCTTCCAAATCACACCCCCAGCGACTCGCATCCAGCTAAGATTCACCCTAAAAGCACACGAAGTATCGCATCGTCATGGTCCACCTACCAACCAAACAAATGAGGTCTTCAAGGGACATCCCAGATGTAGACCACAAGACCGCGTGCATTTCAGAGGAACAGAAATTCTATACAAGGATGATTTTGAGTTTCATTTACATCTGTGATCCCCACGACTCCCATCTACAGGGTTTCCCATTATTACCACTGCGTGGAAGACCTGAGTTACAAGATATGGCTTCAAGTTTTCTTGAATCCCACATCCACATCTGTAGCATTCCTACTGTAGACATTCCTACTGAAGTGCCCTTCTTTCAGCTCTGTCATCATTCTTACCCATTCTCTAACAGTGCTAAAATATCATATTTTTATGCCAATATTCTGCCAGCATAA